TTCCGGTTTGGTCATTTTCTTTAGAACACGGTCTGGGTCTGCACTGAATTGTACAGCATTTATCAAGGTCACCCCTTGCGCTAAATGTTCTTGGGTTAGGCACAGACATTGCATACCATAACCTATGGCAATAATAGTGTTTAATAAGCTTTCCAAACACAGCTCGGCACACAGGCCCTGGAGCTTGCAGTTTATATCCACTGAAGTCCAAGCCACACAGTCATGGTGCCTTTGGCCTGGTGCATCTATGACACAGCCCTCACAATCTTCAAAAAGCTTTTCCCTAAGGTAGTGTTTAAGGATAGCATAAACAGCAACGTGTACAATAGTCCGCATGACTTTTTTACGCTCATGACATGGCACTGGCTCAGTTAGTTCTATCCCAAGCCGCCTCCTAAACTCCTCATAGCCATCATCCTCAGAGTCCTCTTCAACAACTTGTATCAGCGTTGAGCAAAAACATGGTGGACCCGAAGCATCTTCAGGGTGCTTCGGCGGCGGGTCCCAGAGCGAGTGAAGGACCCACCGCCAAAGTGCCCCGAAGACGCGGAGCGGAAGGACCCCCGCCACTGAATTGCCGCCAAGGACGGCAAAATGCCGCCCCCCAAATCCTGCCGCCCTAGGCGACCGCTTAGGGTCGCCTAGTGGAAGTGCCAGCCCTGGGGGTGATGACCCTGTTTTCCCTTGACCTAGAGAAATACCTGTTGGGGATTGCCAAGATTGTGCCAGGCTCCTTGCTGCCCCTCTAATCTATGTGGAGGAGCCACTTTTAAACCTGTCAATGTTTAGGAGCTGATACTGGGCCCGGAGGAGGTGTGCTTTTATCAGTGTGCAACTGCCATCCTCAGTATGTTGGACTCACATGAGTGCTTGGTCGTGGGTGGGAATTTTAACACCACCCTTAAAGCAAAGAACCACATTGAGAAGCAGAGATGCTGCCAATGTTCTCAGGTGGATATTGAACATCTCTCCCTGGTTGACATTTGGTGTGACTAACACTCAGACGATGCCACCTCCTTCATCTTTTTCTGGGGTGAGGTGGTTCAGTCACGTCCCTCTGGGCTGGACATAATCTACTTTTCATGTTTTCATATCTTGTGGGCCCATTCTTCACACATTCAGCCAGACCCCTTCTCAGGCCATCACTGAGTCCTTCTGAAGGCCCCCCTCATAGCTGAGCAGCTGTGACCAGCTTAGTGGCATTGTAATAATAGCTTGTAAGAGGATGTTGGCTTTATGGAGTCCTTCTGGGAAGTCTGGCTGGCCAGGCAAGGGTAGAGGCACACCTTTCACTCGACACAGGGATGGTGAGAAGTGGGGAAGTTGTCAGGCTGCTCCGCTGAGACTACACCCCGGTATCAGTATCAGGAGTAGGACCCTGCAGCTGCACCTGCTCAATACTCTAGCCACCCTAACGAGTCAGCTAGGCTGCCTGATGACCTGCCCTGCCTGATTGGCTGAGGAAGCTAGAAGGTCTATTCTTAAGCCCAGGAGCAGTAGTAGCTCACTAGCTGTTCAATGCACATGGCCATGGACTGTCTCCCTCATTGTGCTCATCTCTCCAAGCCCTGCTCCTGCTTGGCTCTTCCACAGCTCCAGTCCAGCTCCTACCCTGCACCCAGTCTTGTTCCTCTTCTGTCCAGAACCAGCCCTGGTCCTGCCTTCCCTGACTCCTGGTAATCCAGTTCCAACCCTCGGCTCTGACTCCTCACTCCAACCTTCTCGACCTTTGGCACTGGCATTCAGACTCCAACCACTAGGCCTGACTCTCGCTCTGACCACAAGGACTGACTGCCTATGACTTGGTCCACTGACAAGCAGCCAGAGGAGGGATGGAGCAGTGATGGAAGCAGAGATGGAGTAGTTCAAACAGAAAGTCATGGAGGTGGAGAGATGCATGACTATCAACCCTGAGAAACTGTCCCTCCGCAGAGAGTGTTGAGAAAAATGGGATGAGCTTTGGGTCCTTGACGAACACTGGGCCCAACTTGCTTTTGTTTAGTCATGTATCGAACCCGTTTAGGAGATGTACTTTGGCTCCTGCCTTTTCTGTGCTCTAGAGAAGAGGAGATGAGGCACAAAACCACATCACCTGTCTACTAGCACCCCTCCTGTGGATATGGAGCAGATGTGATAACGGGCAAGAGCGTTCTACATGAACCTTTTCCGCCCGGATCGACCGATGCTGACATCTGAGTGGCCCCGTGGAATGAACTCCTGATGGTCAGCATGGGTGACCGAGACCGGCTGGTTTCCTCTCACTCTGGCCAAGCTCTCAGAAGGCCTCTGTTTCATGCCCATTAACAAAAACTGCAGGCATCGATGGCTGACCATGCAGTTCTACCGCACATTCTGGGATGGTCTTGGCTTGCACTTTGCCATCATCTGGGCAGAGCCCCTGGGCAGCATGGTGCTTGTCCTGTCATGCAGGAGGGCTGTGTGCCTGCTGGTGGAGAAGCCCTGAGGAATTGGTGCTCAGTATCACTACTTGGCATGGACTATAAAGTCATAGCAAAAGACAACTCACTGTGACTGAAGTCTGTGCTGGCAGATGTGATCCAGCCTGACCACACCTCCTCTATCCCAGGAAGGACTATCCTCGATGACTTCTCTCAGGCACAGGAATTTCTCCATCTAGCTTGTATAAATGATCGGTCTCTTGCCTTCCTCTCCCTTGACTAGGAAAAGCCATTTAAAAGAGTGGATCACGGGTATCTTGGAGAAAAACTGCAGGAATTTGGCTTCAGCCCATTTTTTAGGCTCCCTCCAGGTACAGTACGGCTCTGCGGAGTTTACAGTGAAGCTCAGTTGAGCCTTAGGGTGACCAGACAGCAAGTGTGAAAAATCGGGACAGGGGGTGGGGGGTAATAGGAGCCTATATAAGAAAAAGACCCCAAAATCGGGACTGTCCCTATAAAATCGGGACAGCTGGTCACCCTAGTTGAGCCTTGACTGAACCTGTCACTCTCAGTCAGGGAGAGCATCAGCGCTGCCCTTTGTCTGGCCACTTGTATGCTGTCATTGTCAAGCCTTTCCTTTGTCTTTTGTACAAGTGATTGACATGGCTGTGCTCAGTGACTCTGCCATGATGCTGTCAGTGTATGATGATGAGGCTCTCATCAGAAGCCCTGGTGCAGGTGGAGGATTGCCAAACCAACTACGCAGTGGACTCCTCTGACCCAGAGTTCAACCTGGTCAAGAGTTCTGGTCTGTTGGTCAGGGATGGGTGGTAGTTTGGCTCCCTCTTCCCCATGATCTGTACCAGCCAATGAGTCACAAGTCTGCTCTACTAGCTGTCTGCCACTGATCTTTCCCCACTGGAAAATTGGACTGACTTTGGTGTCTGATTGATTTAGGGCCATCCTTAAGGGGATGTGGGGCCTGAGACAACTCCCTGCCCTCCGTCCAAGGCCCTTCTCCCACTCCACCACTTCCCCCAAGCCCCCACCCCTGCTCCTCACCTGCCCCACCCCCATTCTACCCCTTCCCCCAAGCCCTGCCTCTTTCCGGCTTTCGATCCCTCCGGGAGCCGGCAGAGCAGGCAGGGCCGCTGCTTCCGTTTCCTGCCAGTGAGTGCGGTGAATTGGGGCGGTCGCCATGGGCCCCCCCAAAGCGCAGGGCCCAGGGCAGCCGCCTCAATTTGTCATACCCTAGAGATGGCCCTGGACTGGTTGCAGGCAATAACAAGGCTTCTCTGGTGCCTTTCCCTTCAGTGGAGGGCACTGGTCAGCAACCAGCTGGTCTTCTCCGTACTCTAGTACCAGCTCAACACCATCAGCCTGCCATTGGGGGACTCTGACCAACCTCCCCAGGAAGGTCTTGGCGTTTTTTTGCCCTGGGAAGCACTGGGTCTATGAAGGTGTCCATAGGTGTGTATTCTTTTACATATTCAAAATGTGAGAGGCAGAGTTGGAGGGAGGGAGTGTCTGTACAATATTTCACCGCATTCAGTCTCCTGGCTGGATCAGTAACGTAGCCGTGTACAGGGCCGCCCAGAGGATTCAGGGGGCCTGGGTCAAAGCAATTTTGGGGGCCCCTTCCATAAAACAAGTTGCAATACTATAGTAACATGTATTTTGAAATCTAAAACATAACCAG